GTACACGGTATGTTGGGGCGCAAATTGGTTCTCGGGTGGTTTGCTTGATTTATTGCCATTTCAATCGACAGCCGGATCGCCGCGTAATATACGCCTAATTACACAGTAAGGCGCTAGTTGATCGCCGGGGCGTCTTTGTTGCCGCCGCGAGCTTAACATCGGTATCGATATCAAGGAGATAAAGCGCGCGCACGGTATACACAATATTGCTGATGTTAACGGAAGGTACTTGAACGATTGATTACGCGCGTAAATCCCACGCTCGGCGGAACTTTCATGACAGAATTATTAAATGATACGAAGGAACACCTATAATCGTCTTTATTACTTCGGAAACTTAGGCTATTATCACCTCAAAGAGAGGAGTGATTAAGGTCATGACAAGATGAGAAGCTCGAAATTAATTCCAGCACCTGTATATTCCGCCATCTTGATTTATTGACACCCTAACTGGGTGATTGTGTGTTGTACGTATTGAAATGCCGGATCGATAATCGGGCATAATGATACATGTTCAATAACGATAGCCTACGATGGAATTGGAAGCCAGCGCGTGTTGGCTAATTAGCGGTTGAGAATAGAGAACATAAGTAAATGAGGAATTCGATATGTATTTAATAGCGGACATGTAAATGTAATTATTGTCAATATTATATAACGTTAAAAATTATAACCATCCAGTTCCACCGATATTACGTTATATTTTTACTTGATTTACTGATGAATAAATTGAGCGCGTTCCCCGCAAGATGGGCTTATCTGACAACGTGGCAATTACGTCGGCGGGCATTACGTTAAAATAAAAGGAAATTAATAATAAAGCTTTTATTGCTTAATCTCGACATAAAGTGACCTCCTTTACAATGTTAGAACCACGTTAAGAGAGCTGTTATCGGTACCGTCAATGTCACTCGTAAAATAAGTCATCAAAGTTCGACGACATTAAAAACAAGTTTCCGTGACATTAATAATTGTCATATGAATTTGCGAAGAATACAATGGCATTGATAATAATTGTATGACTGACGTTATATATTTGTACTAAATTCTGAAACGTGAGAAATAATCTACTTCGTATAACATTAACTCTACTTACCTATACTTTTATTAGCAACGCTCGGCTTTATCAAATAACTGGATTTATCTCAACTGAATGTTATTAAAAATAAAAATATTAATTATTTAGCTCATCATTAAGAAAAATTAAGTCGCTGACCGAGAGAATTAATCACAAGACTAACACCGGTATGTTAAATCTCGACACGAAGCGACCTCGCTGCTAGTGAAATAACCGTTATCGTTATCGTCGGCACTCCTCGTAAAACGAGCCATCAAAGTTCAACGACATTAAAAATAAAATAGTCACTATGTTGCCCCGGCCAACTCTTTCGGTATCGATCACCGAGATTCCGCGTCGTAAATACATCGCGGGAAACAAACAAAAGTTCGCGGAAGTTTTATGTGCGGACGGAGCGAGGGAGGGAGGGAGGGAGGGAGGGGGCAAAGGTGGAAAGGGTACGGCCGAGAGGGAAGATGGAAGGAGCGCGGAGAGGTCTAACTCCTCGTATCCATTTACAAGTTTTAAATCGTTCCGCCGGCGTGCCTTTTGAAAGAAACCTTTTACCTTTATTCTCAATGCACGATAAAATTCTGAAACGCGTTCGCCAGCCGCTGCCGCCGCTGCGCGGCTTTTAAACGTTAACACGCGCTCGCACGGCACAATGGCGGGGTCGCATTATACTCGAGAATCAGGAGGAGAACAAGCGGTATATAGGAAGAAACAAGGTGGTCGACGAAGGAGGGAGGTGGGCGGCGAAGGGATAAACGAGGAGTGCTGTGCCACCAAGTAGAAGGAAGACGGTGGTGAGAACAGAGAGAGGACTGTTGCTTTCTCCTTCGTGCGCTCAATTTCTTTAAGCAAGACGGAGTGGAGTTACACCACAAGGATAAAAATCTTGTTCCGTATGACGTGCCACATTGGCATTCCCATTTTTCCTTATTGTACTGCGTAAGATGACAAATAAATGTCTTCATGTCTGTGTATAAGCTTTCTAAATGGTGATACTCTCAATTTGTTAAATATATTAGTCTCCTTTCATCGTAATAAATATAGAGTTAACTATAATGTCAATGAAATGCTGCATTATTTATATATAATAAAAATATATAGATATTACGTAATAATATATACTTTTTTTCTTATAAACTTTGAATAATAGCATGTATTTTATTAACATAAATTATCAATATTATTAGTTGTCGTAAATCAAATAACACTATGATATCACTCCATAACAATATCAATATAATAATGAGAGACCTTTTTCACGAGCTTTTCACTTTATCGGTCCGACGTAATACATTTAAGTGACTATTCGCGGGATCGTAAATTATTTTTTTTCATCGTAACTTCACGACTTTATAAAACTCGCGAGGTATCCCGATTTGCATCCTCGTAAGAAAGATACGCCGTAATCTCGCGACGGAGAGGCTACGACGGGTAATTCCCACACCGTTGAGGGACTTATAGGTCATTCAAGGAGCTCTCAGAGGCCAAAGGGATGGGACCGCGAGAGAACGGGGACGGAGGGATATCTCGGAGGTGCTTTTTATATTGAAATGAGCACATCTGGCGACGAACGGTCGGTCAGCTGAGCACGCATTTTTTCCTCGTCTCATTCAACTCCGGCGAGAGGCCGACCGAGATATCGACACGAGCGGTTAGGTCCCTCTCTGGCTATACGGCGCGAAAATGGAGCCTGGAGCTTTGCGGGGTGGCTATGGTCGCCCGGCCACGACAGATAAATTTCCTTATGAAAATTCGAGTTCGGTCGAGAGAGAGGAACCGTCTCACCCGCTCACAATTTATTGGGGCTTCCGCGGATCGCTGACTATGCTAGCGCATTCTTCCTATGTCCCGGTCGTCCCTCGTCGTTCTCGATGCTTTGAAGAAAGTGTGCCTTGAAGGTGATAAGCGTCTCACCTTCGATTAAAAAGTACGAGACTTTATTTTATTAGGGATATTTTTGAGAACTTGTTTCCCGGTATACAATATATACCGAAAATAATATAATTTTCTACAAAATAAATTATAATTCTTTACTTTCTCTTAAAAGGAGATTATTTAATACTCTGCGCAATGTGTTTCGAAAAGGCGAACACTATCGAGGAATGTCAACGTTAGTCCACGGCGTCGCACTCCGCTCGCGAGGAGAGAATCGTCAAAGTAATGGGAGGAGGGAGGGAGGAGGGGGGCGAGGAGGAGGGAGGCGGAGGAGACCAAGATAGGGTAGTTAAATGTTACCGGTGTCAGGACATGGCCTTTGTGTTAGGGGAGTGCTTGGGCTCTGTGGAGTTAGCTAGACTGGCAGAGTACTATAAATTACATAAATGAAGTAAGCCCCTTCCGCGCTCAAACGGACGTCTTGCCAAGTTTATAACTTAATCACTCGTGCTATACCCGTAGCAAGAGGAGGAGCTTAGGTGGATGAGAGGATGCGAGACGGAACGAAGCGGTCGAGAGACGGGAGAGTGGGTATGCCAGTAGACGGATAGCGTGGAAGATGTAAGAGAGAAAGAATCCGGCGGAGAACAAGCCGAACGATTAATGGTGTCAGCGTTGAATAATTGAATGTGTCACGCACATATTGTCTCAACGCTCGGCAAGTTTTCTTCCCGAAGTAACGGCTCCCCGGGCCTCTGGGAGGTTTTATTTCGCAATTAAGCGAACGATATCTAGCGTAAACTACGTCATTTCCCCGACCACTCGATCGATCGTCCTAATTTATATATATATATATATATATATAATTCCTAACTTAAATAAATTTAAACAGTTCTAGTTTTCCGGATATACCTTAATCACTTTGAAATGTTTCTTCCCTCCTCTCTCTTTCGCTTCCGCCTTTCTTATATAAGCTTACTATTTCTTATTTCTTAAACTCACTATTTCCTGACATTTATAAGTCATGATATCTGAAAGTTTCATTAACCGCCTAAATCTTTTATTCGTCGGGATATCAGTCTCGGCAATATTAGGAAAGATAAAGTTACACGGGAATTAATAATCTCTCCAGTCTTTGACGTACCACACTTTACGCTAACTTCCTCTACAGAGCCGGACTAGAATCGCGGATTGCCAGCTTAAATTCCTCCCGGATGACCACCGGATGCATTTAATTACGGGTCACCTAACGCAGCTTCGGCAACTGCTTTGGTACGGAAGCACTAAATCCTGGTTATCTTAAGCAACATCGCGCGCTGGATTCGTATAACTCGCGTTCGCCGGATATCTCGGGGTTGAATTACTAGCTGGGAAGAGGAGCGCCGGCGCGCGTGGAAAGGGCGAGATTAAAATCGCCCGGAGAGCAATGCAAAGTTTTTAATAACCCTTGATGCTTGATTAAGTTACGGCTCTCTTCTCCGGCTTGCTGTCTCTCTTCTCCCCTCCCTCCGCTTCGCTGTTCGTCTTCGGCTGAAATAAATTTCGCGGAGATTTCGCTTACAGACCGCGTTTTCGTGCGGTACGAGGGAAGAAGCGAGACTCGTTTACTCCGTCAGCTAAATTAATGGAAATCCGGGATAGTTTCTTATCCCCCGCGAATATATGCAGCAAAATCGGAGAGCTTTCGCGTCTCCGACACTACCGGTTATTCTAGTTCAAATTTATGTAGACGCATTTATTAATGCGGATTAATTTGATCAAACGTCAAATATCATTATACTTATAATAAATAACTTAACTTTCCCTTGTAATAAATAACCTGTCATGTAATGTGATACGATATATTTTTTGTACGACACAAATAATAAATTAAGGATCGTTACGATTCGTCTTATTAACATTAGATTAGAAAAAACGTAAGAAATTATAAAATTAAATTCGGAAAAAAATAATATCGCGCATCTTTCTATATCATAACTGTTTGCTGTTTTAATTTATGATATTAAACATAAAAATCTAATAAAAATTTAACGGGAATCTATGCGTTTTCTTTCAGGCTTTGGATTTGTTACGTTTCAAAGCGAGGATGTCGTCGACAAAGTCTGCGAGATCCATTTCCATGAAATCAACAACAAAATGGTGAGTAGCCAGCCGGGATAGACTACTCGTAGAACAAACCTCCCGCGCCCTCAAAAGGGGTGTACTCCTCCTTTACTTTATATAACCTCAGAGGTCGCATCAAAAGGTATTTGCCTTCTGCTCTCTGCCTAGTACTTAATGTTGAGCAGAATTAATTTTCCGTATAATCGAGAAGGTCTGTCTTTGTTATTTATATTTGACACGCATGTGGAATGTAACATGCGGAAGAAATCGTAGGGCGAAAGAGGGAAGAACTGTTCCACAGTTCAGCGAGAGAAGTCTTTGCCTGCCTTCCGCTACAACGAAAAGCTCTCTCACGACGGTCAAGTATTTTCTTGATGCCACCTCGTATCAACAATCCTGAAATAAGCTTGCGCCGTGCGCGCGCTGATTCAGTCAGTATCCTCCTCAATTCTCACCCTCTATAGTTACAATAGTGATTTCCTTACAAAATTTTTAACAAGAAACAATCTTCGTACTTTTAGCTACCTAGATTAACGAAAAGAGTAAGCAACTAATGGCAATAACAGTGTTTTAAATTTCCCCTTTATCTTCTTGTCGAGGATGATTCGTACGTTATCTGCTGTACAACCCAATCAAGATTTCAACAATTCCAATAGATGGTTACGAAAATATGCTCCAACCCTTGGTTCCAATCATCAGCTTCCTCCCTGATTCCTGAACTCTCTCTTTATCTCTCACTCTCGTTCAAAATTGGAAGTCTCTCTCTCTCTCTCTTTCACCCGTCCCTATCTCTCTTCACCTGCTCTATCTAAAATTTCAAGGTCGAATGCAAGAAGGCACAGCCAAAGGAAGTGATGCTCCCAGCGAATCTGGCGAAGACGCGAGCGGCCAGCAGAGGCGCATACGGTGAGTTGGTGATGGTCGCGACACCCACCCCCACCACGTATCGCTACGCGCCGTATCCCCTGCCGACGGCGGCTGCCGCCGCTGCACATGCAGCCGCGGCGGCGGCGGCCACCGCCGGGCCTCCGCACCATCACTTGCTGGCTCCGATAGTCGCTACCGCCGCGACCGCTCCGAGCGCGGCGGCCACCACCTACCAGTACGCGGCCGCACCGACGGCCGCCGCGGCCGCCACCACCGCGGCGGCGGTCTACGACGTGAAGCGCGCGATCGCGGCGGCGGCCGCGGCCGCCGCCGCGGCCTCTTACCGCCCGCATCCGGTCGCGGCCGCGTCCCGCGCCGCCGCGCTCACCTACTCCATGAGCGACCTGCTCGGCGTTCAGGGCCTCGACATGGGCGCCGTTTACCATCCAATACCCACGATCGGCCTATGACCAACGATACTCACACCCCTCTCGCGGCCGCAATAATTGCAGCTTGTCCTCCGAGTGAGGGGTGTCGTACTTTACGTCCGATTTGTTCAATTTTTAGGTCGATCAATCGTCCTTCCTTTTTACGTTGCTTATCTCGGCAACGAGATTTTTACGGGTCTCGTTGCGTAGCGTACCGCGTCGTGAGTTTTTACAATTCGTATTGCACCGAAGGACGACGTAATGACACGGTTTTAAATCGCAGATGCAATACTTTCTTAGTCTTGTTTAAAGATAACATTTTGATATGTGCCAAAACTTGTTGTTTCGGATAGATCGATTTAGATTACATAAAGTTCGAAGCTCAGTAGATTGAGTAGACTTATATAAAAGAAATATATATATTTTATTGATCTATTTAAGATTCAATTTGGCCAAAGAAGTTAACGTACTGTTTATGATTTTTACTTATTGTATAAAGATTCTAGGAGGAATCTTGCTGTGGAAAAAACTAGTCTTGCGTAATAAATGCATTATTTTCTAATAATATATTACATTAGATTTAAACAGCAACTCTACACATTCCTCAATTGAGACTGTTTCTAGCCTTCGTTTTGAAGTGAATAGATCAACGAAAGAAATCGAAAGTATTAATTAATATATGTCGATCAGTGATCAAATATCGGGCGTAATAGATATCAATTTCAAAAAGTGCAATATCGTAGACATTAGGACGACCGTTCTTATTTACCGGTTCGAGAAATACATATCGAGAACGCGATATTTCCGCGGAGCCGTTTTCACGGTTGGCAATGTTCGGCGAAATACTGTGATCGTAGAAGCAGAAGAGAACGCGTAGCAAATTGCAGATTTAATCGACGTAGTAGTTACCTATGGGGCCTCATTTTCTCGTAGTGAAGAAAGTAGACACGTAGCAAAAACGGGACAAAACGTATCGCAAAAGACTGGTAGTTGTTTCGTAGGTAATTAGTGACGCAGGTAGTAGGACAATAAACGAAGTGTTCAAATGTAGAGAGAAAACGGACCGAAACGACCTAACGTTGCTCAACAATAAGTCGCCGTCACGTCGAACATATCTCCTTTTAGGATTGTCTTTTGAGTTATAAATCTTGAATAAGTGTTTGTTTCTCAATAAATTTGCAATAAAAAATAAAATTTATATGAATTTTGTGATTTTTCAAAAGGAACAATAAAAATAGTTTATCTTAATGTTTTCTAAACACAGTCATTTCTCATTATTTTCTAATTAGTTATACGACAATTTATATATTTTTAAATATTGAAAAATTAGAAACAGATTGAAAATTGAAACGTTAGTAATAATTCAAGTTACCGTGTATTGTTAGCTTAGTAAAATTATTAAATTATGCTTCGAAAATGAATATATAATTATATAAAAACATTTTCTTTTACATTTTAATGAAGATAGGCGGGGTGAACGAGCGGTAACTGTACAAGTCGCGTCTAACTAAATCTCAATCATCTACCGACATCGAATAATTAGGTTTTTGGTGTCCATCACACTTGCCGTTAAAAGCGCTTCAATTAAAACGTCGTAGAAATTAACGCCGACATCGAGCCTTCAACGAAGGCGGAATGAGAGAACAGGAAATCGAAGGACAAGGTGAGCGGCAATTTTCAGGTCACCCCGATGGGGAAACAAAACGACAAGTCCTCGATGGAGATCGTATGTTCGTCGTTCGGCGTCTGTCAATTCGTTGATAGAACCTAGTTGAAATTTTAGCGTCGCGAACAAAGCTCTAACGTAGAAATTGTCGGTTACGCGAGGTTACGCGACAGAGACCGGGGTGATATAATTAAAAACCGCGAGGATAATGGGGAAAACGGTCGCGTTTCGTGACGTATTTTCGAACGTCTTCGAAAGAAAAAAAAAATAACGGCGGGATACTTTTTTCGGGGGACGAAACGAACGTTCGTTCAAGCATTGCGAGCGTTGATTACCCTCGTACATCCCGTTGATTACGAATATTTTATCAGAAAACTGAAATAATATAAAAGAGAAAAACATCCCTCTCCTCATCCCCCCCCCGTCTTCCCTTCTCCCGCAGGTAGTGGTTCGCCGCGTGTACCGCTCGCGAGCACGCGAGCGATAATTGAAGGAAATCAATTAGCGGCCCATGCCGACGCGCAAATTGTCAGCGATGCGGCGAGAGGACGGTTAGCGCGACGGGAGCCCGCAGGAAATGGTTGGCGACACGTGCACTTCTCATTTTGTCGCGTCTTCCGGAATATTTTTTCGCAAGTGACTTCATGAAATTTCATAATGTCGAAGCAAAAACGAACTCAGTTGTTCGTAGACGATATAAAGATACTCCAAAAAAAAAAGAGGAAAGACACGAGCTCGACACTATTTATATGTATATAAATGCATACGTGAATCTATATACATATACGTATATATACGTATAATATTATATATTTATATTCTATACTTGTATGGGGTGTCCCAAAACTAGCGGTATATGTCTCGTTGACGTTAAAAATCCCGTCAGAGAGATAAATTTAAATGACTTTAAGAGAGAAGAGAAATTTTACGATATATAAATCGATGACGAGGCTTGAAATTCAAATAGATATGTATAGAAAATTATTTTTTAGTTATCACTTTACATTGGAATTTAAGGCGCTGCGACAAACAGCAGTTCTCACGTTGTTGTCAAAAAATGTAGACATCAAATAATACGTACCAGTGGTTTTCGGACACTCTGTATCGATATGTACCTAACGATCCATTATAGATTTACGCCAGACGATATATACGTTATATTGTTTTGTATCTTACCTATTTGGTAACGCCATAGCATTTGATATTAATATCGATATATTTTGTGAGAGCCGCATTACACCTTATATTAGTTTTTTTTGTAATAGATCAAACAGATATACATATCGGAGCCTATATATATATCTATCTATCTCTACATATCTAGGTAATTAGGTAAACATTTGTGTTGTTACCAGACCTTAGACATTTATTAAGACTCTAGGCGCTCTATAGGTTCGATTAGTTAGAAGCGAGTCAGTTTTTGGAGCGAATTAATATACTATGTACACGTTCCTACCGTTGAGACTACTAGTGGACTTTATAGCTTTTGGGAAGTCACTATGATATATCGTTAGCTTAGATTACTACTTTAGGCGCTCGTCTTCGCGGAAGATCGCGCGCGCACGCTCGCTCCGCGAAATCCAAAATCTCTGGGCGAGGAAAATTGCTCCCGCACGGGGAAAACGGCGAAATTTCGGCCTCCATGTCGTAACATTCCCAACACTCGCCGTTTTGACCTCCTGGTAAAATTATTTGCGGATGAGAGAAGCGAGAATAAAGCGCGTAGTGTTCCACGGCGTCTTCCGCGAAGAATACGCATTTACCAGCGGCTTCAAAGAGACCTATTATATTGTACCTATTACTTAACGAGCTACGTTACATAGTTACATTTATATTACGTTACACGTAATATTATACCTCTCTATATAGGATACATAACTAAAATATATATCGTGCGTATACCTGTCTATACCTAATGCCTCAGCTCCCGTATATCCTTATATTCTCATATACTACTTGTTACATAGTACTTAACTCTTCTTAAGCCGCATAGCATCGTTTACCTTGATGATAATGCGTGTGAGACGTGTGTGCCCTAGAAAGTACGTACTTTAGCCAGAGAGGCGCAACACTGTCAGTTTCGTAAGTAGACCAGACTTTGAAGATGCGGTTTCACGTTGTTGGCCCCTTGTGACCCTACTCGGCTCGGGGGGTGGGGGGAGGGGGCCACTTGATTTTGGGTGTTCACGCGGAGGTATAGAGTATCCGATGAACGTCTTGCAATAGGTAATTTGTAAAACGGGGGCACAGAACGGATTCTCCGACGGAATGCATTCCCGATACACAGCACGGCCTCGCGAATGTTTCTCCTCCTCCCGAGACACACGCGGGACACGCACACCAAAGGAGGAAGCATAAAATTCCTAGTGAGAGTAGCTCAATGAATTCCACGTTGCCGGAGCTGATCGATGTGACGTAAACGTTAATCGACCGGCAACTCGATCGTAAACTCAAGCTGTGAGACAGGCTTTATGCGCTCCTCCGGAACTGCGAGAGATGTTAATGTTAATACGTTGTACGTAAACGTCTGCTCTACGTGAGATCGATATGTTGCATCTGAGAAAAGTACAGGGTGTATTACGTAGACGTCGTTATATAGAAAAGCACGCGCGTAATAATACGCGCAAGAATTATTTACATAGCATCTAGATACTATCGTCGAGATCTATTCACGTGTTTCGATGAAGTGACAGAGATATATGCCTATACATATAATATAATGCTGCAAACAGATTCCATATTGAAATAAAATGCGAGATAGCGCTCGACGTACACGCAAAACCTTTTTATTGTAGCTCAGAAGAGTTTTAGAAAGCTCATTAAAGACAGAGAAAAAACAGTGTGTGCAAAATGATAGTAAAAATACCATTGAGCGCTTGACGTAAAACCACAGCCCGGTAGAGAGACTTTAGGTACGAAATTACTAATACTATTAATATGTATCAGTGTATTTTTAATGGCTAGAATAAATGCTCTTATATACTTTTTTCCATCTGCGTAATATTGTGAGAGCAACGTCGATATGGACACTAGCATAGTGAGTCTAGTAGTGTAGTATTATTGTGGTCGGTGTTTTTTTCAATATTGTATCGTCAATATAAATGTGGTAGTGGTGCCGGTGCTATGCCACGCACACGCGCGACAAATAGATGAGAAAAATAGAAAAGTGGAGGCGCACACACACGCCGTACGCGCGTGTGTTGCCTCAAATGCGTTTTGCAAGTCTGTCAGAAATTTTGCGAAAGACATTCTCCGGGTGGTGGCATATTACCGGCCCTTAGTCGATATCTAATAAGCTATATAGAGAGCCTAGCAAATATATTACTTAACGGTAAATAATTAACCAATACCTTTGGAGGCTACAATAACCAATAGTTTATAGGAGGGTTTATTTTGTCGTAGAATTGGAAACACCTCGGCAGCGCGTAGTTACCTAGTACCTTGTCACACAGTTTAGAAAATGCGCTATATAGTCGATGCGATATACATATATATATATACATAGTGAGAATCTTAGTTGTGTGGTCTTTTGGATTAGTATCGAATTATGAAATTTCATGGATGCCTTGATCTCTCTATCATTCTGTTTCTCTCATTCTTTCTCTCTCTCTTTCTTTCTCTTTTCCTTTCTTTCTCTCTTTCACTGATTCTCTCACATTCTCTCTCTGTTTAACCTAGAAAGCTTTTAATCCTGTTTCTTATCTTTTTCTTTCACTCTTTTACGTTCTCTTTTATCGTTTGGATCTAGTCATCAAGTTACACTTAAATCCCGACGAATTTCTGCAACGCTTTCGCTTCATATACTTAACTTATCTCCGTGTACATACTCTTAAATGTTTACGCCTTACCTTCGCCTGCCTCGAAGAAAAATATTGGTCTTTGCGACATATAAAACTTCGCGGAAATAATTGACACGTGGAAACTTTGCTTCATGACACGTAGCTCATTTCGTAAGTTTTTCGAGCGATCAATATCTTTCTTCGTACGTAGTTGCAGAAATTTTGATGGAGACTTGAAATCGTTGCACTAACGAACATGCAATATAAATGACGGGGGAAAAAATCGAAAAGAGAATTGATGAAAAAAAAATGAGCAAAGAGAGTATTCACGATACCGCCGGTCTGTCTTGAAACTACATTTTAATCGAGTTTGTTTTTCCTTATAGATTTTATGTGGTCTCTGGGAGCATTACCTGATGGTGAGTACGTGAAATATGTATTGAACTAGTAAAGAGCTCGATACCCACTGACGACATCGCTATTATAGACATAACTGAAGTAATAATGATGCTATATGGCTCGATACAGCCTTGGTGCATAATTGTCTATTTCACCTATTTGCTCTAACATACCGTTCCACATATAGCAGATCTTTCAGTTGACTGATGTGAATCGTATGTAAATATTAGAATTTATCGGATTAGTTACTGACAACCTCTCATTAGCTTTTGCATTAATGGAAATTTAATCTAATTAGCAGAATAGATACGGCTATATAACTGACACGGATATAACTTAATAGGTTTAACCTGGCAATTAGCAAAGTAAATAAGTTTCCTAACGTTTTCAACGAATTCTTATCGATTCAATGAAATAATTCGTGTGAACTATTAAGAAAGTTTTTCAATAGTTTCAGTTCTTTAATAACTTTATAGGTTTTCCTACAAAAATAAGATAAGACAGTCTTTTAAACTTTTTCCTGCGAAATTGAATTGAATGCGGTAATAGATATTTTTCAATCATCATGTTTTTTTCATTACCAACTCCTGCTTTTTGACAAAAAATAATTTCTGATCATGCTAAATATCTTTTGATCAAAATATTTTTACATTTTTTTATATTTTTTTAAACTTCTCAAAATATAAATTCAGTAATGCTTAAAAAATAATTTAAATCACAAAGCCGTATATATGGAAAAGTTCAAAAGGAATTACGTTTATAGATCAAATTATGTTTATAGATCAAACTTGTAGCTTAGACCGAAAACAAAATTGTACGTCTCTATATTGAAAAACATTTAGTTATAACAAATAGTGCAACAAAAAGTGCGAAAACCTAGAGATTATGCTTATGAAATCATTGCCGCGAATGATTCATGATTGCGCTGTTTCAAGTGCCAAGAGGACTATAGCGGAGTTGTATACGGAAGTAAACGAGGAGTGTAACGGAAATTTTCGTTGTGTTCGCAGGTTTCCCAGCGGCGGCGTACGCGGCATACGCGGCGGGCCGCGGCTATTCTGGGTACCCTAGTTTCGGATTACCCTACCCGACAGGTAACCACCTTAGCCTTAACCACCTTAACCACCACAATGCGGCCCACATCGCGCCCCTGAACTTGAACTTGAACCTCATACAGGCGCAGCCCGCGCCCCATCATAACCCGCCCACCCCGACACCGCTCTTTTACCATCCCAATCTGGACCTCTACAACGCCATGCCTCTGTGAACTAACTCGCTGATTAACCGATTATACCAATAACGAGCTGTGCGCGCATTTCTAACCCATCGCTAACACGCTAACTGACTGTGCTGTCGCTTGGTCCATCCGATCCCATCGCGGCGAGAGAGCGTGTTGCGACGCGATAATTACGGAGGTGAGAGAATAGCCCCCGTGTTCCCGAGGGTAATTCCGGGCGGATTCGAGAGCACGGCGAGGACACGCGTGCGACGGCGCGCAATACTCGAGGGGATCCTCGAGGATCCTCCTCGCAGGGAGACGTAGACCCTTCCGGGACCGCGAATTCTCGAATTGGACGACGCGACGCCCGGAACGCAAGCAGGTTCCGCCGTATACGCGCGTTGCTATTTGCATGAAAAATAATGGCTATGGACGACGGGATATTCTTTAAAATACAAACGCGCGAAACCTTCCTCCTTAAAGCAGGGGGAGAGTTCTGATTTCGCAAAGTTTTTCACCGCTCTCGGCAGCGTGCGAGAGAGCCACCAATATAGGATAATAGGTGAAGAGGAAACGGGAAAAATGCTGCGCCCGGAAAAGAAACTTCGCTTATAGTTATAGGATATTCGGGGATAAATTATTAATGTCTAGCAGTGTCAGCTCGGCCGACGCCGACGGCTTGCTCGGCTGCGATATCGACTCGCCTCTCTGTGAAAGAGTTTGTACATTATTGGAGTGCTCATTCGATACTTGTCGCGACGTTGGTTTTGCGGTAATTTTTTTTTACAACGGGAGCATCGTCGAAGCCAGCGAACCAGCGATGAGAACTGTTTCAAAGAATTGGGTTACTATATCAAAGTTATCCTAAGTCATTTTAAGACTTAAAACACCAAGTAACGTCTTATTTTATATTCTCTTATATTCTCTTTACATCTTTGCGTATTTTTAATTAGCAAGACATATTCGACAGATTTTTCACGACGATTTCTTTATTATACATTATTTTTCTACTATATTTTGAAATAATATTTTTTTAAAGGAACAATGGATTCCAAAGGATATAAATAATCTATTCTCTTTCTCGTTCTGCGGTAGACAATAAATCACCGAGTGTTTGCGAAAAAGTGTGTTGCGCTACCCGTGGATTCGGAATTTATTGAGCTGTTATAGCTACGGTGCACTATTGATTCTCCCTTGCTCTGTGTGTGGTTATCATTTTTAAAGAATTCAAAATCTCAAAAAATATTGATATGTATATTGATATGTATGAGAATATACAGGTAGAGTGGAAAAAAAATGCATAGATCGCCGAGTGCAAAATGCCTCATGGAAAGTATTCGAACGATTTTATTCGATTTAATATAGGCGTATTACCGTTTGAATACTTTGGTAAGCCACTATATGTGAAATCAATCATTCCTTTCAATAACGAATATATCCCAATAGCAATCTCAATAAAAGCAAATATCCAATCAATGTCCGAATTCATCAGTAAATACCACTAAATATTGAAATAGCCGATAAAAGTTATCAGAGAGAGAGAATACTTTTACTTTTAAAGCGTTTATTAGCCAAAATATGCTCATGGGGGGAGAGCGCACACGGTGAAACCAATTATTATATATTTTGCAAAAATAGACACGTCGATACTTTCGAAAACTCGACGACGTCGCCAAAAATTGAGTTCGGAGCCGTTCCGGGCGGTGTTTCGCAGCTCGGTCAGCGGATCGTGAAATCGATCGCGATATAAAATGTGTGTAGCATGGAGTGGGGTGAAATGTCATTGTTGATATCTGACAAGGGTAACAAGTACGTATCGATTGACAATGATACGCAAGGGACCGCATCGCGGTCCACTTCGATACACACACACACACACACACACATTTACACGCATTCAACTATTGGCGTACCACACACGTATATGACTGCAGCGATTAATAGGGTACCTATGGAAAATGAGCACGTCCATCTTTCGACATCGATCCGTTGAAATCGAAGTGGACGATAGCTCGCGGGCGGACCTTTCGAAGGTCGAGCATTCTTCGTGATGTATTCGCCGAATGAAAATCACCGATCGCGTTTAAATATGTTAAAGCGAAACGCGTCTCTCTTTCTCTCTCTCTCTCTCTCTCTCCTATCGCGATTCGATGATTCGTGATTGCCTATCTGCGTGACGTTCTCGACGAACGGAATTGAAGGACAATAAATTCGTCAGGCCCGTTTGTCCACCCGCGAATTATCAAACTTATCCATCTATTCGATTTGTTTCTGTAAGCTTTGCTCTTAACAATATCAAATTGTTATCTGTATTTTTACTGATATTTATTTATTATTACTTCGTAAATTTTGTTATTTGATTTTGTTATAAAATTTGAAACGCATGCAGCGGCACAAATATATTGAATGTAACAAATATACGTTTAACAATACTGGGAACTTCGCCGCGCAGCCAAACCGAAGAGTTAAAATGAAAACCAGCATAAAACCATATAAAAAAAATCATGACGCTTTCATCGGTAGCTTCCAAAAATTTTCTATCTCTTTGTTCACCTTTTCGAATTTGCGATAGAAAACATTATTTATACAAAAGAATTGTTTCTCAAGAGTCGTAATTTTATCAACGATTGCATCTTCGGCTGATTTTCAGTGAAAAATTAAAACGCAATATCATTTTCCTCTTCCAAAGCTTTCTACATAGACAGTTTTTATAATGATTTCCTTTATTGCGCGATTCATCTTGGTTCTTCTAATTGAAACTTGTAGTTACGCAAGATTTACATAACTACGATGCTTTTGAAAATATTAAAATTTAATATTTCATCATTCTTAACATCCATTAGAACGTCGCGCATTTTATCACTTTCGTGTGTTACGCTTGCTTGCCCTTCGTAACTTCTCGCCTGCGTAAATGTACATACGCACGTTTCGTTCCGTGTGTTCCGCGGAAAAGGCGATTGCGATCGAAACTCCACGCACCCTTCCATCCCACCACGTAATTTTAACCCTTACACGCGGCTCGCCGCTCCTCCATGTCAAGCATGTAAAACAGTAATAACGCGTCACGTCGTTAGCGTCGGACAAACTGCGACCGGTGCCCCGTGTCGCGATTAATTTGCGCCGAAGATAATGTCATGCTCAAACGATATCGCCTCCAGATTCGCTTCGGAGAACGCTTCGAAAAAAAAAAGAGCGAAATGCAATTTCCATTGTCTCGAGAAATTGAAATCTACGTTCTTATATGTATATCGACTCTCTTAGAACAATACGTGGGTGGGAAGAAAACTCATAAATAATGTATAATGTTTTTCGGACGTTGGCCCATCCCTCAAAAAGCCTGTTCTTCTCCTTCCCCCCGCCTCCTCCTCCTGCTTTTCCTACCATCTCGTTTTTCCGATCCGATCCTCGCTTTCCTCCGGGGAATGTGGCTCCCGATGCTCCCAGAATCGTTTCCAATTTTCCTCGACATCCGCTACTTAACGCATTTGAATAACTTTTCGGGATCACCCCCGCGGCTACCTTTCCACTCTCTGTCTCTCTCTTTCTCTCTCTCTCTCTCTCTCTCTCTCTCTCTCTTCGCCCGTTTTCCCGATCTCCCGAGCTTGTGTGTCTTATTGCGTACAGTTCACGAGGCATGGTGGTAGGAAGGAAAAGTGGATATCATCCGCGATGATTGATTGCTATAAAGAAGAACTCTTCGCCACCCCCTCCCCTCTCCCCGCCCCACCTCTAGTCCGCCTCCCTCAATGTATTCCCAATGTCCGAAAAACATTCGTCGGTTAAGCCACCCTCTTCGCAAACACGGGAGCGGGGCGATCTTCCTATACGTAAGAACGCTTGGGGTATAAGGAAAGATATTTCTGTGGGTAGGGGGGGGAGGGCGGCGACGTATACTCGGGATATATTCGCTTTGCGGAGAACTTCTTCTTCTTCTTCGGGGAAGATCTTTCTGCTCGAACGTTCCCGAACTGCAAATATTCCGCTACTTCGAGCGAAGTCAAACGGCGGCCGTGATTTAACGATCGTCGCTAGACATTCGCCTTCGTGTCACGAAACGAAAGCGCCGAAACGAGATCGCTTCACGAAATGCGAACTGAATTTGAACCCCGTTTCGTGTATATGTCGTAAATATTGATAAATAAAATCTTTTTCGACAACTTGCGAACGAAGGGGCAGGCGTGCGAAAAACGTTCTTACGCACAAGTCGAATTATTCACACAAATAAATTGTTATTTCCTGTTATGGCACATACGAGATCTCTCGTTAACGGAAAATTATCTTTTTCTTTCTTTATTTGAATTTTCACATTTAAACTCACTTTGTTAAAGATTTATTTTGTAAATGAAAAAAATAAAATTTGGTTTCTAGTTTAGTGCTTTGGCATTTTTTATTTGGCCTCATGTTAAATTGTATACAATTTATTCCTGTAACATGAGATGTTCAGATCCCACGTTGCCGAACAATTATTTTTTTTATTTCTTTATTTCAATTTCCATTTAAACTCTTTTTGTTAACAGATTCGCTTTATATTAATGAAAAAATAAAATGTTGTTTCTACTTTAGTGCTTTGACATTTTTTATTTAGTCATTATATATACAATTTATTTTCCTAGTAACATAACTGATTTTATATACATATGTTTTCTAAGCAATTAGAAAACATTAGATACTCTTAGGAAACACATATAAAATGTATATGAATCGATATGTGTTACTCGGGATGTTTCACAGGAAATACATATATGCTTGAAATACATATACTACATGTATGCGGAGAGATATATTGCATGAATGAATAGTGTATCAACGTTTAATGATGCTTATAGATACACGATATTGTGTGACATTGTTGTAATCATTATCTGAATTCCGAAT